GATTGCATATTTACAAATAACATTTTCTTTTTTAACCTACTATGATCCACGACCTTGATTGATCGTGTGATGATGAAATTTTCATCATCATCACTCTTCTCTTTCTCTCTCTCACCCAAATTCCTTTCTCTCTTTCACTCTCTCTGTCTATATGAATCTCTTTCTCCTCTTTCTCCTCTCTCCGCCCACATTCCTTATCCTCTTTCTTCTTTTCCTGTCTACCTTTCTTCATTTCTCTCTATCTATTTCCTTTTCCCTTATTTTTGTCTCAACTTAGCCAACAACCACAACAAGTAAAATCTAATAATTATAATTGAATTGTTTGTATTTTTTGTTAATATTTTGAAATATTATTCAAACATATCCAAGTGTTTTTGGTCCATTTTGATACAATTTTTACTCGATAAGGTAAATTAATCTTATATTTGTTTATTTCTTTCCCCTTCCTTCCCAAATCATTTCCTTACCACAACGGGTGTCCGTTGTGGTGGGACTCTTTCCTCTCCTTGTCATTTATCAATAAAAAAGTTCAACAATTCGGGTGCTCGAATTGTCGGATTTATAAATTCAAATATAAACTAAAATTAGAACACACAGAATATGCAGCCGAACTTTCGTTGAATCAAACCTCCATTGCGCCGAATCTCAGTCAATCGAATCTCAGTCAAGCTGAGTCTCACTTGAATAATAAGCCAAATCGTCAGATTATATCTCAGCCAAATTAAAGTTCAACATTGATAAAGTCAAAATTAAAGTTAATCACCAGAATCTCATCACCAGAATCTCATCACCAGAATCTCATCACCAGAATCTCATCACCAGAATCTCATCACCAGAATCTCATCACCAGAATCTCATCACCAGAATCTTATTATCAGAGTCTTATTATCAGAGTCTTATTACTTGAATTTTATCATTATAATCTCATTATTCTAACAGATAAGCCGGGTTGCCCGACTAATCCCTTTCTTTTTGTTTTTCTTCAACTTCTTTTTTTCTTTTGTAAAAGGTTATTTAATTAATAAGGTTACAATTGTCAAGTTAGAAAATCAATTATAAATAGACAGTAATTAATTTAATAGTTAATCGATTTAGGAAATAATAACAATTAAACCTAGACCATTAATCTCCAGAAATTGTCGATTATAATTTAGTGAATACAGGAAATAGTAGGATAATCAAGTAATAAACCTTTAGTTACAATAGTTAATAGATTCACCTGTTTGGTTGGTTATTTGCTGTAAAATTTTTATCGGGATTTCCACTTGGTTATGAGCTTCTGCAATATCTTGGAGTGACTCACTTGCAGCATTTTTCCCCACCACTGTTCCAGGTTTACGTTTAACATTTTTCTTCCCTCCAACTAAATATTCAAATTGTGGAGGAATTATCCTGTTCATAAGGCCTTCCCTTGAATTACCTGGAGAAATACAATAAAAGATTAGGATGAGAAAAAGGTTAGATTTAGACAATCGAAAAAAGAAAAACGAAAAACTTACCAGTGGCTAGAAAAATACATTTTTTTCCTTCGTGTGTAAATTTATCTCCTTCATGATAATTTTTATCAAGTTTATTTGAAGCACAGACAGATTTTTTACCATAGCTATCAATAAATAAAGCGAAGTTATCACAGTTTTAAGTTTTTAAAAGCATGTTGACACTTGAAAGAGTGAAAAAAAGTATCTGAAAGTTTTAAACACTAGCTGATTGGAGTGGCGAAAGCTCCCTCTCTCTTTCATCTTTCTTTTTCCAAAATAGCGCGAAAATGAAACCAGTTTTAATTGTGATTAATAATATGGTCAACTCGAAACAATTAGTTTCTGGTCAATCAATTAACTAGAATTTACAACTAGTCCTGTTTGTGATTAATAATATGAACAAAATTTCTGGTTAATCATGTTTACCAAATTATTTAAAATAGTAAAAAAATTATATTTAAATTAGAATGCTATGATTCAATTATCTGGCTCTTTGCTTTTTGTCAATTAATTTTTTTTCTCATCATCGATTATATTGATGAGACAGTTTGGTTTCCAATGTCTTTCAATATCATCTTGTGTTGAAAATCCTCGATTACAGCCCATACAAACTAAAATGCAATTATTTTCCATTGTATGACCAACTACTTTTTCCTTATCTTTATCAGAAAATTTCATCTTACATGAACAGCCACTGAAAGAACAACGATTAGTTTCTCCGTCCATCAAAGCTCCATCCTGACACAATTTTGTCATTGTTGTAAAGAAAATTGGTTCCATATTCGATAGACGCACTATTTGAAATGCTTTTCTTCTTTCGACGAATATCATGTACTCGGACGATTCTCTGCAAAATGAAGAGTAATCAGTAACATGAAAAATTATATCGTTTTTGGTTGAATTAAATCTAGTGAACGATTCCAAAATTTGATCAACCAGAAACAAATTGTTTCAAGTTGATCATATTTTGATCATATTGATAATCACAATTAAATCTAGTGAACGATTCTAGCTGAAAAAAGAAAAACAATGAAATCAATTCCTTAGAAATCGAAAAACTTTTTTTTAATTTTTCTTATTTATTTCAATTATTAATATTAACCAATTTTCTTAATTGCTTGGATCTGTTGAGTTAGTATGAAAGTTGCTCGTTGTGTTTTCTTTACAAATGTTTCATTTTCGTCGAGAAGAGGAGTATTATTGATTTCTTCTCTGGCAAGTCTGGTTCGCAATAAAACATTATGACCACGTATTCTCCTTAGCGTGAAGGCACAAGTTAAAGGGGATTGATCGGAATGATTGACCAATTTCTCAACATCGAGGGCAGGGGTATTTTTGGTCAAATTTTTTGAATAACAGATATAATCTATGCAATTGCCGTCATATGTTTGGTCATCACTGGACGGGCACATTCCATATCTAAACAGCATAAAGGAAAGAAGAGCTGAATCTTTAGCGGCCGCTTTTTCCTCTGGTGTTGCCCAAAAAAGATTTTTTATATTAAAATCCCCTGTCATAATGATGGCATGAACTGGGTCAACATAATTACTATTTAAATCGTATCCGCCAAAAGTGAAGGTGTCGAAGGCAGCAAAAATTTTGCTCATCCATTCCTTCACAGGGTGGCTTGGCTGGCGGTATGTGTTTACATATGCTAACCGGAAGTCCTTGTCCAGGGTGAATACACCGGCATTATATATGACAGGACAGCCGAAATCCAATTTCTTTAAATGTTGCCTCAAGGCTGGTGAAACTTTTGATAATATTGGCGGAATCGAGTAACGAAAGTGTTCTTTCAGCACCAAAGTACTCAACTATTGGGTGAGTACAACTTCTAGTTGCTCGCTCAACGGAAAGTCCTCCAAAATTATTCAATCTTTTTTGGACTCAGTCACTTTCCGTTTCCTGGAATCCTGCTATGAAGTCAATTTTGTTGTTGGTGTAAAAAGAGACAGGCTCATTGACACAATTCATGTTTGACCTGACATTTCGAGAAAAAATATTTATAATCATTATACTTTAATTATATTGATGAACAAAATTTAACCAATAAAAATGAATCACCTGATAAAAACAGCTAATGAATAATCAATAAGAACTAAAACAAAGACTAAATTTTGATTTAAAGCAATTAACTATTTTGAAACAATTGAATCGAATTTCAGGATGGCGCGGATCTTCACTAATGAGTTGATGTATCGATACATCGAGAGAAGTGAAAAATTGATTCGATATTATCAGATGTGAGTATCGAGTCCATAGTTGTACGAATAGGCTTCGAATAGAATTTCTAGTTAATCATTAATCATTTAATTCTTCATTTTCCAATTGCTAATTGTCACCATGGAGTGGAAAATTGCCGAGTTTGTCGCGGTGCAAATCTAAGCAGGAAAAGTGGTAGTTTTACCCTCAGAAGATTATACAAATATTGGTGATTTTCATAAAAGTGTTGATTGTTTAATTCATCAAAGCAAAAAGAAAGCTTTTTTCCTTGCTTCAGGTAAGATATGATTTATTTATGTCAGATCATTTTAATTTGTTCATTGTTTGTTGTCATCTTTCAATCACTTTTTGTCAGGTATTGCCTGACACTGACACTTTCTCTACATCTTCTATTAATGGTGTAAAGAAGGTGTAGAGTCTTGAATCAATCTAACAAGTAAGTGTAGCTAAACCTTTTGTACACCATTAATAGAAGATGTAGAGAAGGTGTAGAAAGACTTAGATCAATTCAAGACTCTACACCATCTCTACATCTTTTATTAATGGTGTAGAGAAGGTGTGGATGTCAGGCAGTGCCTGTAAAATCCCATTATCTATACCTAAATTTAAAAAACACCTAGAACGTAATTACGTAAAAAAAAGAAAAAACAAGAAAAAAAGGAAGAACAGACTTATTATTGTCTCTGTTCACAATGTAATAGTTGTACAGATAACAAAGACCGGTGCAATTTATCATATACGAGTACTCTTAGCTCTCATATGCACCGTCGATACAATATCGAGTTTGAGTGTCTATATTGTAACAAAAGAGAAAATCATAAAAGTAATCTTGCAAAACATTTTGCTAATTTGTCTTTTCAATAAAACCATTTCAATAATTTCAAGTGCGAAAAAAATTGTCAATAACAAGCATCTGCTTCGCTTGACTTTGTCAAGCATTGCCTGACAGCGACACCTTCTCTACACCATTAATAGAAGATGTAGAGAAGGTGTAGCAACACTTAGAATAGTTTCAATGTCTACACCTTCTCTACATCTTCTATCAATGGTGTAGAGAAGGTGTAGATATTCAAATCTATTCAATCGGATCTAATATCTATTTGAATCTAATATCTAATCGAATTTATCGAAGCAAGTCGATGTATCGATGTTTCTTGCTTATTTTTTTTATCTTAGCTTATTTATTAAAGCGTTTTGTTTATTTTTCGTGAAAGATCTTAAACTGATCCTAATTATTCTATGAATTTTTTATTATTTGCTTGAATTGCAAATAATCTTACCTTTATTAATACGTTTGAATTTCTGAATTTCAAATGCCTAGAAGAAATATTCAAGCTGGGCTATGGCCAACAAAAAGGTAAGTCACTATAATATGCTAGTTATCAAAGCAACAACTTAATTTATATTTGTTTTTTTTCAGGCCCAAGCCAGAGTTGACGATGTGCTTTATGATGTTAAAGTTATCTCTTACGTAGAAGAGACAAATGAATTTGAGTTGGAGGCGAAGTGGCTCGAGAAACCGGAAAACGTTTATTTAAACAACATGAACAGAATTAAAAGGAAAAGGAAAAAGCCTGAGAATGTCCAATCAATTAATGAAATAATAAACGACACCATTGAGTTCAAAAAAAAGCTTTATCGAGGATCAAAGATTTACCAATGTCCTTTCTGTATGACTAAAGGTCCACCCGGAAGGAAACACAATATGTCCGTTCATATAAATGGAATCGAAAGAAAGGATTAGGATGGAAATGTCCGTTTTATTCAGCCATGTGCGATTAGAAGAGAAAGAAAACCAGCAGTTAATGGAAAATATGAAACTGTTGAACAAATCGATATCACTAAGCAAGGGAAAAAATTACTCTTACCTGGATTCTCCGAACAATTGCTTTCACTCTAATATGTACAAAAACTATAACATGTAATACCTACATACCTTTTTACCTGTATCTTACCTGTACTCTATTCTGTTTTATTTGGTCAATCAACATCCTAAAGATTTCATTTTTTTAATAAATCATTGACATTTCATTTTATTTTCAAAAACGTTTAATTTCACAGTTGTAGAGGTGGTGTGTTGTCAGGCAGTGCCTGACAAAATCTCGTAATTAAAAGACTTGTCAAACTAAGACATTAACGTGTGCAAAGACCAACCACCATCATCAACTGATTGATTACACGTTTCCTTCATTTAATTTCTTTACTTATTATTACTCCGATTTGGTTTCTTTTGGGTTTATTGATTCGATTTCTTTTTAATTGTCTCTTTTCTGGTCAACCAGTTGATGATGGTGGTTGGTCTTTGCTTTTTTGGGGGCGAGCAGCAGATAGCTCTTTATCTCGCTCAATGAAGCAGAATTGGGAAATGTGTTTTTCAAAGCTGGTTATTTCCTTGAATCCCTTTTTACATCCACGGCAGTGAATGAGAAAATTATTCGTTAGAATATGGCCCAAAAATTCATCTTTGGACTCTTGTGTATATGAGCCTTTGCAAGGACAAGCTTTCAGGTTACATTTTTTCTCCTCCATGCACGATTCAACGATATTTTCCACATGATGTGTCGAAACTGCTTTTTTTGTATTTATATCCAATAGCTGGACTTTGATTCGATCCCCGTACCAAAATGCAAAGAAATCATCGTTCATTCTAGAAATAAAGTAGAAAGAAGAATAAAATTATACAAATGAAATCAAATGGATTAAAATACACTTACATGTCAACATCATATTCATCAGAATCGAGATTGTCCCCCGATAAATCAAAAATATTAACAAGATTTTGAATGTTATGGGCGCTTTCAACTTGATTGATTATTTCTTCTTCAGCAACTGAAGCGAAATGCCCATCAGTTTTAGCTTTAGTTGCCATTTTCTTGCTCCAATTTATCAACCTCGTCTCGTAATTTGGTCCTTTTACAGCCGAAATTTTGATTTTGGTGGTTTTTCTTTTCTTTTCCAATGATTTGATCGAACTGTCCTTCTTTTTGGTTGGCCTTTCTGAAATGAGTCTGGTTCTAAAAGGACGAATTGCGGCATGTTTTCTTAGGGTTGAGGTCATGGCCAGTTTAGTACCACAGAGGACACAATAGAAAAGAGCGTTATTGACTCTCATTATGTGTCGGGTGACAGTCGATATGTCACCGGTATCTTTTTTCCATCCATTTCCATTTTACATTCCTTGCAACTGGGTGACACACAGTTACCCGTTTTAGCTTTCGCAGAAACCGTGATAATTGCAAATTCAGATTCACATTTGGCTTTCATGTCATCGTAGCTCCAAATTTTTCCATCGGGTGTCATCACTTGGTACACACAAGGGGAATCGACACCATCAACGGAATATAAATGGAAGTTTAACAGTACGTAGATCTTGGACCTGAAAGGAAAAAAGGAGAAGAAAGAAGGTACGAATGAAAAATGAGATACTAGTCAAATAACAAAGTAATTTGAACTTACCAAATATCTGCACTCGATGGTCTTAAAGATTGCACTATTTGGTGTTTCATCAGATATTTCGAACCATAATAAATCAGAATATCTATCGTACTAAAGTCGACCAGGGTCAAGTTATGTTTCCACTATTCTTGTGAAGATCCACCAGAAGCTGAACCAATGGATGACATCGAAGGTGATCTTTCAAAATAGGTTGGAATTATTTCATCATTCATGTTGAAAGTTTCATTCATTTCTTTTTCAATTAAATTTTTTCGTTCAAACATTTTTTCTTTAACTGCTGAAGGGATTGATTTTAAAGCTTTTTCACAGTGTCTTTTACTTCCTGTAAAAAGATCATGAAATTAATTACTTATGGAGACGAAGAAAATAATAATAACTTACCTGAAGCTATCAATTAATGGGGCCACCAATCCGATCCATCCTCTGTTTGAGTCCAAGGATCTCCTTCGACTATAATTCGATTTAAATTGAGCAGTTCGGTTCTGTCATGTAGCCTGATTTTCGCAGAGGAAACAACTGCTGTCCTCTGAACTGTTCGTCCGGTTAATGTTGGTCCACCTTGAGTTCGGAAATACCCGATCAAAGCTCCTTTTTTAAAGGACTTGCCATTTTGTAGAATAAAAATGGTCAGAAAAGGATTTTACAATTAGAATTAGTAATTTGTCATCTAATTGTTGAACTTATTATTGGAAGTATAAAATCTTGTTAAAAACAATTGATTTGATTGTTGGAAAAATTACAAACAAAGCAAGTTAAAAAGAAAATGTTTAATGTAGAAAAAAGCTTCTTTATATTTGAGCTGTCACAAAGCTGCAGAGACCTCAAGTGGGTTTTATAATTATTATCGGCTCATCAAATTTCATTTTCTTTCTTTTCTCTAATTCTCTCTCTACCATTCATACGATTCTTCACAAGGGGTAAAATCAAATTTTTTTCCTCGGCGGTTACATCAAGTGGATCCATTATGTGAAGAGCTCTAACGGTTGGTTCCATTTTCCGCCTTTGTTTACATGGTTTAAAAACCTTCTCAATTCTATTGTCATCCAGCTTCTTAAAGCCATTAATATGGTTTTTCATGTTAGTTTTTTCATTTGGAGTTGCTTTTACGTGACAATAGGGGCATGAGAAAATTTTGGCTCCAGCATCAAGTTTTAGTTTAAATTCTTTTGTTTTAGTATAAATTTCGTCAAGCGACTGTATTCCACATGGTCGAGCTTTTTTAATGGGCACGCTGGTTATGTCCGAGATGTAAACATTTTCCGCTCTTTCGAGCCAAGTGGCTTTGAGTAAAAACTCTCCTGTTTCCTCAATGAATGCTGTAGCTGTTACATCATAAAGTACATCATCTACTCGGGTGAATGCCTAGAAACCAGAAAAAGATTGCATGAGTAACATATAATTATATAAAGTGATATATAAATAGATACTTACTTTTCTTTTGACACCTCTAGAATTTGGTATTACTCGTTGATTCATGATAGAAAAACAAAGGTAACAAAATAATTGGTAATGAGAGTAAACAAATTAACTTGATTAATACAATTTATGGTGAATAATAACAAACAGGAAAGATGGAGTCATTCTCCGATGTATCGATAGTATTGAATTTCGCGACAGCTTTTCAACAGCTTCTTTATCAGGCACTGCCTGACACCGGCAGCTTTGCTACAGCTTAAGAAAAAGATGCGAAGAAGCTGTAGCTTTGTATGATCATTTAGAAATGATAAATTGTATAAATAGTCACTTAGATCAATATTTGATTAACTTAAATTATTCATCAAGTTTAACTTCTGGTTTAGATTTGGTGTTGGTCAACACACCGGTCAAGGAGTTCATGTTTCGTCTTACAATTAATAGTAGACCTTTTTTAGGGTTTGATAAGGTTATCTAACAATTAAGACAAACCAATCCTTACCCTTTATCTCAATTAACTTTAATTACTCTAGATTGTAAACTTTGATTAAAAAATAAAAGATGATGATAAGGAAGATGATGAAATCGCCAATTGAAATTGATTGGAGCCAATGGAGGTAAAGGTTAACATTGACATCATCTTATTGGCCGGTCAGTTGATCCTCTTGTTGGTCATCTTTTAAAGGTAAGATTGATTGACCATCGTCACCATTAAATATTTTCAACAATAACTTGGAAAAAAATTCTAGTTGATTCTAAACGATTATTGTTTCCAATGATTATCATTAAAATTGATTATCGATAAACATAACAATTTATTCCGATGTTATTATTATTGTATTAACATCTTCATTATTATTACATTATTTTCTCATCTTTTTATCATTCTTACCTTCATCTTCCAAAATCAATTAATCGATTTTCGAGTATAATTATGATTAAATCAACAATAGAATACAAATTTACAATTTGTGAGAAACACTCAATCAATTAAAAAAACTTCACTTGGAAAAATTCATTCTAATCATTAATTCTATTCTGATTATTCCACAGCAATTTACTGATGAACGGTGATCACAATTAAGGTTAACAATCTTAACAATTTTGTCCCAAACAATCAAACCCTCTTGAAGTATAGATTGATGATCAAGTCTAAAATTGTTACATTGATTGAGTGTTTCTCACAAATTGAATCAATTGTAAATTTGTATTCTATTGTTGATTTAATCAAAATTATCATCTTGTTGATTAACATTATCATATTTTGGACTTTTGATTATGATTGACAATATGATCAAAATATGATCAAAATATGATCAACTATAATCAATTTGATTTCAGTTCATAAACAATCAACTAGAATCGTTCACTAGATTTAATTGTGATTATCAATTTGATTATCAATATGATCAACTTGAAACAAGTAACTTTGGGTTGATCAGATTCTAGACTTTTAATTGTGATTAGCAATATGATCAACTTGAATCAAATGGATTTCAGTTCATAAACAATCAACTAGAATCGTTCACTAGATTCAATTGTGATTATGAATTTGATTATCAATATGATCAACTTGAAACAATTAACTTTGGGTTGATCATATTCTAGACTTTTAATTGTGATTATCAATTTAATCAAAATATGATCAACCTGAAACAATTAACTTTGGGTTGATCATATTCTAGACTTTTAATTGTGATTATCAATTTAATCAAAATATGATCAACCTGAAACAATTAGTTTCGGGTTGATCATATTTTGGACATTTATGATCAAAATATGATCAAAATATGATCAAAATATGATCAACTATAATCAACTTGATTTCAGTTCAAAAACAATCAGCACGAATCGTTCACTAGATTCAATTGTGATTGAAAATTTTATTATCAATATGATCAACTTGAAACGATTAGTTTCGGGTTGATCATATTTTAGACATTTAATTGTGATTAGCAACATGATCAAAATATGATCAACTATAATCAATTTGATTTCAGTCCATGAACAATCAGCTAGAATCGT